TCGTTGATGTTTGTGTGTATATATGTTATTCGGCCTACACTGCATACAATTCTCGCTTGTATTTCGATTGTTGTATCGCATAGAAACCTAATTTGTTTGTTTACTATTCAAGACTGAGAATAATGACATCTGTACGTGGTTAACACACCTGCATTTCTCTGTCGGATACGGAAGGCCACTGATTCCGTTTTACCGGAGTCGTCTACAGCAACTGAAGCCATCTTAAAAATTATGTACGATACTATTCTCCTCCGTTTTGGATCGCAATTAAGTAGCTATTCACGATATCTTACTAACATATCGACGCTACCTCGAATCCTGAAGCAGGAAATTCTGTGGTAGTCTTTATATGCGCATTCAGGCTCCCAACACTTTTCGAAGTTGACTGATATGGGTCTTGATGTATATTAGATTCGGAGTGCTTCAGGAAATAATCATAAGGGAACATATGACATATTCTGGTACATATCAGTTTTATTCACCCCTACATATCTCAATTCGTTATCGCTCCCATCACTGATCCGCTCTTGATCGCTCCCATCTCACGCTCGAATTTAAATCCGTTTCATTCGCCGGAGATCCTGGGTTGTCTATATATAAAACCCTACACCCTACATGTTTATTTTATTTTTACAATACACAATTTTGTTTTTTTTAGAAGGTTTGTATTCAAACCAAAAACGTGTAATAAATATGAACAACATTGTAGGTCCCAACAAGCTCTCACTAGGTGACTCTAAATAACATGGTCCAATTCGAGTCGAAGTGGCTGAAATGCCGTAGCACCCCAGATGTGACTGTGAATCCCTCTGCACGAATATTTTGCTTCCCGTGGGCAGGCGGCAATGCATCTCCGTATGTATCCTGGGGTAATGATGATACGCTGAAGGCTACAGGTATTGAGGTGTGGACCGTCGAATACCCTGCGCGACTCACACGAATCCGAGAGGAAATGTGTGAAACTATGGAGGAACTCGTAGATAGCATCGTGCAGAGCATACATGCGCTATTAGATGCTAGCTCCTACACTCCCATTATGTTCTATGGCCATTCTATGGGCGGCACAGTAAGCTATGAAGTGGCTCTACAACTCCGACAAGTGCCGCACGTATTGTTTTTGGCAGCAGCAGCCAGTCCAATTATAAGTCCGGAGCATATCCAGGGATACGTAAGTCGGAAAGCATCTATTGCCATGTGTTTATTACAGTGTTCTAGTATACGCCGGAAGGCTTACCACGTGTTCGTATAACTGGGAAGATATTTTTTAATCGATTCCCGAGGCTATCTCTAATCAAAACATAAAGCATTCTGCGATGTGTATCATGTCTGTCGTTAATATTTTGGATGTACAAATAATTATACACAAGTATATATTTACGGGCTCTTACATTGTACATATATGCTGGGCGTATTTCTGTTTGCATGTACAGATCTATTATATACGATATGTATGTACCGACATGTATTTCAATCAGTTGGGTTTTTTAGTATTATGAAGACACACACA